CCAAGGGGCAGACAAATGGGGTCTGCTGGGGTCGAGAAGATGGGGTCCCTAGTTTCAGAGGGACTCGGAGACAGTCTGCCCTAGAGTCGTCCCCCCGAATTTGGACTTCTAGCTGCCTAACTGTGAGAAAATAAATGTCTGTTGGTCAAAGCCACCCATCCACTTGCTGTCTTTCTGTTCCAGCTGCACTGGAAAACAATGGCCGCAACTGACTCTGGCCTTGGGCTGGGAGTTAGTACCCCTGTGTGGTACTGGCTCATGTAATCACCCAGAACCCAGGCCTCTAAAGGTCCTCAGGACTCAACAAGGAGCCTGGCCTACAGGAAGAGAACAGGCGTACCCCAGTTGCCTTGCTCAGACAGAGATGTGGCCGACAGAACCCAGGGCTGAGGTAGGCCTGAATGCCAGAGGGCCCTGGAGTTGAAGCAGGTTTGCAAGCAGGTTCCTGCGGCTGAGCTGCCCCTGCACTGAGGTCACCTTATAGGTCTGTTTGCTTCAGCCCCCGGAAACGACAGGGGGTCTCCAGGGCACAGGTGGGACATTACCTCCCCTCCCCTGGATGTCAAAGCCCAACTCCCCCTGTGGGGCCCTAAGCCCTATAGTGGCAGCCATGTTGCCTGGGGTGAGAGGAGGGTGGGGTAAGATTTGTGAGTGCAGGCAGGGGAGCTGAAGGGAGGGGTTGGGCCCTGAGCCATGTGGCGCAGCTTTCTGCCACCTTCCCTGTATGCCCTCCCTCCTACCGGCACCCCACCACCCAAGACTCTCTTGGTACAGGGTGGCAGTGCCTTGCTCCGGTCCTCTCTCCTAAACTCCCACTTCCCCTGTGTAGGCAGGCCTGGTATTATAGAAACAGCCTGGGCTCTGGTTGCGGACACACATGTAGGTTAGAATCCAGGCTCCGTACTGACGAGCTGAGTCATCTGGGGAAAACCCCTGATGTCCCTTGAGCTTTGGTTTCCTGGTCCGTGGACATGTGAGGGAACAGCTGGGGTGCCTGACACGAAGGGAGCACTCGAGGGCTGTAGTCATTGTGCCGCTGGCCTGGGAGGACCTTCCCGATGTGGCCTGTTTCTCAGCTTATAAGGATCATCTCCTTGGGTGACAGATGGGAGAGTTGGCCTCGTCTCTACCTCTCCGGCCTCACTCCCTGGCTCCGCGGCTTCTAGAAGATCCCTGGTTCAATTTCACTTGTCATAGCACAGGCTCCCTAGACCTGTCTCACCACTGAGCTTGGGCACCTCCCTCTCCTCGCCGCTAGATCAGGTGCTCTTGAGAGCTGCCTGGATCTAAGAAACCCACGTGGCCAGCCAAATATGCCCTTAGACTTGGCCCCACAAAGGAACCTTGACTGACAAGGCCCTGTCCCACCCTGCCAGGTGCTTTCACCCCTAGAAATGAGAGCACGCTAGCTCCCCATTCTCCTTCTCTGGGGAAGGCCAGCTGCCCAAGCCAAACTCACGGCCATCGACCCATCTGGGCCGTGGGTTCCTGACAACTCTTTACAGGAGTAGAGAGCCTCGGCTTTCTCCTGAGGAGTAGTGGGTGGTTTCGGACTGCTGACCCCGTGGTTAGCGGCCCAACGAGGAACCCACGGTGCCACCAAGGTCCCTTAGCCAATTGACAGCGGTAGAAATGGTTAGTGCTGAGCTCCGAAGAAGTTCACACAGACCCACACAGAGGATGAGGCCCGCCCAAGTCAAGATTCCTTCTGACAGAGACCAAGGCTCTGGCTATTCATCGTAGTAGCCCCGAGTGCTCTAACAGGGCTGCCTGGAGGAAACCCACAGAGCTAACTAATCCCAGAAGGGATGGGGGGATCTGCACATGGTGTGAGGATCTTGGGTGGTGCCGTAGGCTAGGCATTGGATGACTAACCAAAAGACCAGTGGTGTAAAAGAGCACCAGCCACTTCAAGGAGAAAGAGGAGGCAGTCTGCTTCTGTAAAGAGGACAGCCTCAGAAACCCCAGGGAGCAGTTCCACGCTGTCCTACAGCGTGGCTGTGGTTCAGTGTCTACTCGAAGGTGGTAGGTTGGGTTTCCTCTAGTGGGCATGCCATGTAACAGAAGACCAAATGGCCAGGGGCATCACTCCGACCAGGCCTAGAGGTTTTTTTCCCAGAGTTCCAGTTCTGTCCATTGCTGGCCCTCTAGAGACGTCCAGAAGGATCTGAGCAAGCTCTTATCTTTGAACTGAGTCAGCTGATGAACTGAGTCAGCTGATGAACTGAGAAGGTTTGCATCTGTCTTCTCGAAAGATCTTCTGAGTCCGCAACGAACTGTGTGGGCAACTAGCTGCTACCTTCCAGCGCTCCTCCCTGTTGTCGAGTGAGCTAAATGGCATCTTAGGAATAAGGCATGGAAACTCCTAACCAGAAATGCCCTTAAACATCCAGAGACTTGGCCCAACACGGGAGATCTAGCTGCTGTGGATGAGCCCCTTGGCCAGTCGATTCCAGTGGAAAAGTCCTTGTTGACCGTGATGTCATGGCAACCCCCACAAAGCAGATCTTTCAACAGCCTTGTGACTGCCTCGCCCAAGAGCCCCCACCATTCATGCTCAGACAATGCTTGGGAATGATCCAGAGTCAATCCACTGGCAAGTTTTTAGAAGGGCCTTACACTATTAGACCCCAGCGCAGCTACACTGCTGTTGCTCCATCTTAAGCACTGTTTGGATGACAAATGCCAGCTGCCGGCCTGCTCAGGTGTGTTTATCCTCCGGGAAGGGCTGACAGCCCTGGTGGGGGTGGAAGGGGGTGATGAGATTACGTGCCATCCTTAAAGGTCTCGCACTATCCCACTCTACTCCAGGTTTGGTCCCTTGTGATGGAGAGTATAGTTTTGGGGACATTCCAGGAATTTGGTTCCAATTGTTTAGGGCCTTTTTTTTCCTTCTCGCAATTAAGAGGGTTTATTGGAGAAAGTTACTTTCCTCAGCCAGCTATGAAGACTCTCTGGTCAGCAGCCTCTCGGCTGCTAGACCCTCGGCCTCTGTTTTCCTGGTCCAGGAACCCTCCCTTTCGCTCCTCTCTGTTCCAGAATCTTGGCACTGCTCATCTTGCTCCATCCTATGATCTCCATGCCGGGCTCCAGCACCTCTGGTCTCAAACTCTGCCTCTTCAGACATTGTTCTGGGATGTGTTCGTCTAGTAGTCCTAGCTTTATCTCTTTCTTTTTAAAAAAAAAAAGTTATTATCACCTGGGAGTGAATACATACATCATTCCATAGTTCACTCAGGTCAAGAAAATTGCACAATAGCTATCACATCTTTAGGGCTGCTGTCATCAGAACTTTGGGATGTTAAAGCTCCATCATGGCTCTGAAGAGTGGGTTCTGATGGACCTAACTCCACTCACAACTTGGTAATTTACAAGTAGCAAACTTTGTGCATTGAAATCTGACAGACTTCCAGAGCTACCTTGGGGCTTCACCTTTCCCACTCGCGACTGCCAAGGGTTAGGTTTGAAGGACAAGCTATAAGCAATCCTTGCGGTCGCCTCTACACTCCCATCACCTCTCAGTCCCCTCCATCTGACAAGACCCCCCAGCATCACAGCTAGAAGAGCCACACAGGACTAGACCTTGGCAAGCCCCCAGTTAAGGTGGCACAGGAGGATGATCACCCCCATCCAACTCTTCCCAGTAAGAGCTGGAACCTGGTGGAGCCGAGCCCTCTGCCTCCATGCAAGGTCACAGTTGAAGAATCCAGGTGGAATTCTAATGGAGAAGGATTGTGATGGGGCTGGGGCCAAACACGCAGCCAACAGGAAGGAGGCCACCTGCCATTCGCTGTTGTGTCCTCTGAGCACCCAAGTCCAGAGAAAGTCCTGGCTTGGCAGGTGTCAGACTGACCTTTGCCCGTTTTCATTTACCTCACGATTTTCCACTTGGCCTTCCCTCCCCCATGAAAGGCCAACGCCTCCAAAGGGCCATTTGCTGGGCACTGTAGTTTGTCCTGGACTGGAGATATGGAGGCTGTGTCTGTGGGACTTGGTTGCCCTGAGCAGCCCCCATTACTGCCATGGCCCCACTTGCTGCAGGTGCCACGATGCCAGTGGCTTCCCTGGGCAGGCTGCGGTCTCCACCCCAGGAGAGTCTGCGGGGAGAGAAGGCTAAAGTCCACACGCTGACTTCCCACCCTGGCACAGGTAGTTGAAGAGACCGCCATGTCCTGCCTGTGGGTGCCAAACAGTCCTCCTCAGAATCAGTTCCAAGCAAACAGCCCCTCTCCAAAGAGATCCCACATGCAGTAGCCCGGCCAGGTCATAGAGCCAAGAGCTGACTTCCGTGGAGCTCATTCAAGGCTTTCTGAATGCACCTGTGCCCTAATCTACCTCACTGCGTAACAAAGAGCTGACCCTCAGCCCCGAGACAAATCCGGCTCTTTAAATAAAATATACTTCTGGACTAGCAGAGGCAGAGCCTCGCAGCCTGCCCCAGCGCCCTGTGCCCTCCAATCTGCCCACAATCCTATCTTACCTGTGCTTGTGTGTGCACTCAGGTAGCCCCGGGCAACATGTGGCAATTGAAATTGTAATTGGCTGAGATGAAATTAAAAATTCGAATCAGTCCACTGCCACACATGGCCGTGCCTGTCTTGGGCAGCACAGATAGGGTGCACATGCACGCGAGCGCACATACACCCCACCAATGGATGACCCTCAGCAGCCAGGAATGCCTGGCACGACAGCCTCAAGGCCCTTTTCTGGACTGGCATCTGCTGGGCTGGCCCCGAGCAGTGCTGGCCCAAGGTCAACTTTTTTGGAGTGACATGGAAGTCTACTGCCCTGGGATTCAGCAGGTCCTTCCTCAGACCTCCACCCGGGATCTCTATCCGCCTTGCATTCCCACCCAGTCCCAGGAGCCCCCACCTCATCACAGCCATGACGACCTGGTCCAGGGACAGCACTCATGGGAGGGACCCCATCCGAGCCTGTTTCCAGCAAGGGTCAAATTCAGCTCTAACCCCCCTGCTAAAGAGAAGGCCACACCCACTGTAGATAATTAAAGCTTTTTATAAAAGGAGAAATATACATATGTACACACAGGTCCATGCAGTCACACATGACTTAGTGGTTAGACGGTGTTCCCAAATTCTCAGTCACACCAAGGTGCTCACACTGCCTTCCCTGGGCCTGCCGAGGGCGGAGGGCGGGCACAGGGCAAGGCACTGTATAAATAAACGCGACAGCCAAGAGCTCGGGAACGTTAGTGTACGCCTCTCATCAGAACTGTGCCAGCGCCCACAAGAAAAAGTGCCGAGTTTTCCCCCCAAGCCCCTCAGCCTGGGTGGGGAGCAATGGGGCAGCTTCTCGGAGGCGGAGGGAGCGCTTGCTTCCTGAAGGACTCCTGGGTTTTTCCTTCACTGGCACTGGGGCAGTCCCCAGGGCTCAGCTGGGAAGGGAGGCAGGTCTTTGGGAACAGGAGCCACTTTAGTGCAATTGTCTCTTAGTGCAGAACCAGCCCTGGGGGTTGGCGGATGCTTTTCTGAGGTCACTGTTCTGTATCCCTCAGGCCAGCTCTGGTCCTTTCTCGGCGGCGGCTGAGCGCTGAGGGCGAAGCTCTTGGCTGACTTCCGTGTGAGGACGTCCTCCACCTTGAACCACCAGCCTCTGGATCCTTTCTTCCTGGGAGGCAGGTCCAACTTCGCCCCCAAAAGTGAGCCCAAGCCCTGGCCTGCCAGGCCCTGAGCCGTCTGCTGCCCCTAGGAGGGAGAGCCCATCCTCATTAGGCAACGGGGTCACATTTTGCCATGTTAACTGGGCCCACAGGAGTTCTGCTTCTCTGTACCACAGCCACCAGGGTGCCAGCTGGTTATGGTGCACAGGGAATGGGCTGGATAGAGGGCACTCTGACCGGGGTCAGCAGGCTGTCCAGCCAGGTGGAGTCCATGTTCTTCAGATCTGTGAAGACTCGGTGCAGGCTTATCCCAACCTCTGCTGGAAGAGATGAGGAAGGGTGTGTGAGGCTGAGGACCAGGCCAGGTATTCTTCCCGCCCCTCTGACCCCCTTCCAGCCTATCCAAGGCTACAGACAGCAACCGTCTGCCCTTCTTTACACTGGTCTCAAGTCATGGAAGAAACAGCTCGTTCTCAAGCTGCCCATCCCCAAACCAGTGTCAGTGGGAAAGGTGCTGGACCTCTGCTGCCCGCCCCCTGCCCCCAGCCCTCCCGCCCCCTGCAGTGTTCTCCCCTCTCCAAGAAGTCATAGGACATGCAAGGGCTTCTTACCCCCAGCACTGTCGACAACAGACTCCTCTTTGCAGCTGAAGTCTCCATAGGCAGAGGGGGGCTGGAGCCCGGGCTCATTGAGCAAGTACCCCTTTCCATCCACACTGGTTGGCTGCCAATCGGACTGCTCCAGGAGCTGGGACAGGGGACCAGGAAGCCATTAACACACTCATGTTCCGCCACCGCTCTTCCTGCCTGACCCTGCCTCTCTTTGGGCACAGCTTCCCAGCTGAGAGGATGCCTGGGGCCCGTTTCTCAGGCTACCGAAGAGCTCAGGCCTGGGCCGTGGGGGAGAGATATAGGCATGGCCTCTGGACAGTAAGGACACTCCAACGGGGAGTGTAGCTCCCGTCCATGGGCAGGAAAGCGAGACAGAGGACTTGGAAAGCTAAGGAGAAAGAACAACTCCCCTGTCTCTCTCTTCTGCGCTATGAGAGAGGAACCAGGGGACAACTCCTTTAATGAATTTTTTCCCTGCATTCACTTACAAAACCAAAACAGGGAAGGGGAAAAAAACAAAATGAAAAGAAACAAAAAATGACTAATGATAACAATTAAAAAAAAAAAACCACCCAGAGAACACTTTGCTTAAAAAAAAAAAGCCAAAACAAGATGCTGTCATGATACAGATTTCAAAAGCCAATGATTAGAACCTCATGTGCATTTCTCAGACTAGTGGAGCTAGGGCGGCACAGCCGGCGCTGAAGCTGAGTCACAGGGGCGTCCTGGCCCGGAGGCTTCTTTCAGGACAGCCCACCACACACCAGGCCCCCTGCCTGCCCTCCCTCTTCATGCGGTCCTTCCCACTGGTGGCCCCAAGCCACATGGACGCAGCTTTGGTGGGGCTCTGTGTGCAGTTCAGTCACGGCAGACGCAGCCTGCCCTCTGGTGGGCTCTCTCCTCCCCCAGAAACAACCACTTTCCCAAGGAGAGGGAGGAAGGGGTTTTACCTTCATGATGTCCTCAGGGATCTTGCCCTCCTCGTCCTCGTCTGTGGCAGCTGTGGGTGAAAAAGAGCAGGGAGGGGACAATTGTCAGCCACGCCTCCCCAGCTGACCCCGCCCACTGTGTCCCACTGTCCTTACACTTAAGGACACACACACACACACACACACACACATCTGCCCACTAGAGAGATTCCAGAAGAGGTCACTGGCCTCCTCAACAATGCAGCCACGCCACTTCCTATCCCTTCCTTCCTCATCCTCAGATGGGCTGCAGAGGGAACAGGAGAGTCAGCAGCTCCCCGACACGGAGCACCGGGCTCCCCAGCCCGCCAGAGCCTGCAGCCCGCTCTGCACTGGCTTCTGGTTACCCGGGGCTTGCCTCATCAGCTTCGTCGGGGGAATCCTGAGCACCCCTCCTTCCCTCAGGAAACCACTCAGGACCCAAAGTCTAGCAGTTGGACCAGACCCCAGTAGCACAAACCTTCAGAAGTGGAAGGCATGGGCGACACCTGTAAGTTGTACAGGTCACTGGTGCTGTCGGGCATGTGCCAGTCAGAGAGAGTGCTGCTGACGCCACACGGTGACAGTGCTGGGGGACAGCAGAAGCCGTAGGTCAGGGCTGTGTGCTCTCTTCATTTGCAAGACACACACCCTGTCCTCCACCCATCCCAGCCTGCAGCCCATTCGAACATGCCACCACCCACCGGCACAGTGCCTCTTCAACTCACAGAAAAGCCACCCCCCCACAAGCTCCAGAGTCCCGGCCACCAGCCCACCTCACCTGGAGTGAGTGCCTGTTCCATATCCAGGTCCTCCCCGAAGCAGACGTGAGCTGTGTAGCCGCTGTGGTCATCGGGCAGAGTGGAGCTGCTGAGCCCGTCGGAGAAGGTATCAGGGCTGGAGTCCCCACATGACTGCAGAGGGAGGCAGCAGCTTAGAGCAGGCCCATCAGGTCACTTCCTCCACGACCCACCCGAGCCCCTGGGGAACCAGAGCCCAGTGGTGTGGGACCAAGCTCACCTTCCTCTTGGCCTTGCTCTTGGTCTCTCGGCTAGACTTGGACTTTCTTTCTGTGGGGCAGCAGCGGAGAGGCCGTCAGTCCCAGTTGCCCCCATCTCCCCTGCCCTGACCTCCCATGCCCCGAGGATTGCCCACAGCCCCTGACCCTTGGATACCTTTCCTCTGGTTCTTGGTCAGCGGGGGGAGCATGCGGTACACCCGCACAGCTGAGCTGCCCTTGTTCCTGCTCTGGTCCTTCACCTCCTCGATGTCCGGCAGCGAGTTCATGGCGCAGCGGAAGTTGGCTTTCCACGTCTTGGGGTCTGTCTCCTTTTCCCCTGCTTTGTATCGGCCTGCACGACAAGGGAGCAGAGAAGGCAGTCAGGCCCATGGGTGCGTGGGAAAAGGAAGGTAAGACACCACCTGGGCAGGCTGGCAGGTATCCCCAGTGACATTTTTCAGGCCTTGATGAGACAGGACCCAGAGTGGCACAGTGCTGGACCATACCCACTCCCCCGACTTAGGCAGTCAGTAGCCAAAGGGTGTTTATCTGGGGACTGGGTTTATCTGATCTTTCCCAACAGAATTGCTGGAGAGGGCCACAAAGAATAGTTATTGCTAAGTGGTTTGAGGTGGACCAAGAAGCCCATCCCTCAAGGAAGATGCCAACCAAGACCAAGGACACTGGTCAATGCCAAGAAACAGGAAAGCCTGGGTCTGGCAGGGCCCTGGCTCCCAGCAGCTATGGCCCAGGTTGCACTGTAATTCAGTCCCAAACTTCCTGTAGCCACTGCTCATTGGATGCTGACCTCACAAGTCCCTAAGAACTTGGTGAAATCGACAGGTGCTCTCTCCACAGAAACACAAGTCTGCTCCCAACCACACAAACAGCCTTCAATGTAGTCTCAGGGACCCCGATGAACAGCCTTGTTACAAAAATGCTCCCCGGACCTCCTCCACAGTGGCTCCTGGGCCGGAGTCCAGCGCACACACCTGTGTGAATGGCCCAGCTCCTGAACAGACAGGCGTCCTTGTTGATGTCCCAGCCGTGCTTGGCGGCATGCTTCCACGGGATCTGGAAGATCATCTCCTCCTGCACAGCACACACACACAGGGCTCCATCAGCTCACAGCCACCACAAGCCAAGACCACAGCCTCTGAGCTTGAGTTCACCCAGCCCCCAGGTCTGGGAAAAAGCTGACTTCCTCTTTCGACCCCGACATCTGGCTGGGGCTGACCCGTCCTCAGATGGGCTTAACCAGGCTACTCTGCCACTCTGGATCTCTCCGGTGGTAGGGGTGGAGGTAGCTCTGGAACCATTGGCTCAGCAAAGGCCTCCCTGGTTTGGAAGGTCTGGGTGCTTCTATCTGGCTCATCAGCAGCCACATGAAAAGACACTGGTGGGACCTTCCACTTGCAAGACTATCCTAAGATAAAGGACACAATGCCAGGAACAATACTTAGCCCAGTGCCGGGCCTGGAGTGAATGTCCATGGAGGGTTAACTAGTAATATAAGTACAACCATAATGATGAAGTATGCAGAGTCAGTGCTGCCCTGACTATATCAGCCAGAGGCTTCTTAGGTCAGTGCAATCAATTGGTGCAAGGTCCAGTCTTGGGTCCCCTGCTAACCCCTCCACTTCTCTGAATCCCATCTGTCCCTTCTAGAGCCTTATAGGATGCTGTGGGTGCACGTATACCTATATGCATTCGTGTACACCTGTGTGTGTGTGTGGGGGGCATCTCCTCCCTCAGGGGAAACCAGCATGCAAGCTCCAAGTGCCCTCGGGTGGGTGGCCCTGTCCACACCCAGAAAGGGAGGAAGGCAGGAGGCTGGCAAGTGGGCCCTGAGCTGGACCTTGTTTGCCGTCCCCACCCCCTCACTCAGCAAGCGTAACCCCCTGGGAACCACAACTGCCTGATTCCTTACCACTTCCCTTTTAGAGCTGCATCTGAAGTTTTGGTCCCCAAAGAGCAAGGATTAAAAGGGTGCATGGGGGAATCAAAAAAGTGACACTCACTTTATTAATCCAGGTCAGCCCTGGGATTTGGTTGGAATTAATCTGCATCTCTAGCCAGGGTCTCATGCGCATCCGAGTGATGGGCATGTTGGCTGCAAAGAGAAGATGAAGAACTCAGGTTTGGAGTCAGTACCTGGGCACTACCCACCGCCTTGTACCCAGGTGGATGGCCTCCCGTCCCCTCCTACACTCTGACCCCTGTGGCTGGGTACTGTAATGATCCCTAGAATAAAACTGCCTTCCAAATCGGTTCCAAGAAGAGGAGGGTCCCAGAACTTTGTGCAGGAAAGAGACAACATACAAGGATATCTCAAATACCGGAACTTCTCCCCCCAAATTCAAGTCCTTTGAAAAAGGAGCGTTCCTTTTGCTCGATAGCAAGACAATATTTCTCTGACTCGAGTTGTTGCCAGCCTGGTTGGGGCACCTTCCCTAATGGGCAAGCAGTCACTCTGCGTCCTGGACATTTCCTCTTGGACAGAAGCCACTACGCCTCCCTGACAGTCACAGCGCCGGCTGGCTGCCCCAGACCAGGACGCTAAGCCTCCAGTCTGCCTTCCCCACCACTCCCTTCAACTCCACCCCAGGCGGCCA